CCGCCGCCGCCGCCGCCGCCGCCGGTTACGTAACGCGGTCGACGCGTCCGCGGTGTGGGATGCGCGCGGAGCGAAAGGGAAACCGACCGCCGCCCGGCGAGCAACAACAACAGGACGAGGGAAGCCCGTCGCTACGACGGAACACGTGCGGAGAGGTGGCTCGCGCGCCTCCGCGCTTGCGCCAACTCGTCCGAGCGCGTCGCGGGGCGACGGGAGACGCGTGTCGAAAAACTGAAATCCGGACCGACACGCGTAGAGATTTCGGCGACGGGCGGCGGTCAGGTAGATGCGACGTGTACGTCGGCCGAACGGAAAAACACGAACCACCGTGAAAATCCGTCTTGTCGTGTCGAACGTCCGACGACGCGTACCCGACCGGTGCGGTCCAGCACGGTCGTGACCGACCGTTTTCGCGTCCAACGCATCATGTATTCGTACCGGCGTGAACGAGATCGGTCGCCCGCCCAGGATTTTGGTCCGGTAAGTGTTTTCGACCGTCGACCGATAAACAAGATCCGTCGGAATGTCCATCGGCACCGGGGCAAAACGTTTCGCCTACTCCTGTGTACGTAACCGTCGATCGACAGTACCCATCGTTTCGCGTACCTCGTGTTTTCGACGTCTAGTGCTTCCATAGGAGCCCAGAATGTTCGTTAATAAAATATCAATCGTTCACCGTACCTCTAGTCGTTTTTGAAACGTTGAACGTGATCAACTTATTAATTTTTACGTTGGCCGTCCAAGTCGTCTGCACACCGCCCAGTTGCCTGTCGTTGGTATACCGTACGATTCGAGTGATTTAGTTCATTTCTATGGTTCGCAACTGTAAAATACCCGTACATTTACTCTTCGGGGTGTTTGTTAATAGTTTATCAATTAATTAATAAAAAAAAATAATTTGATGGCTATCGCCAATCGTATGTGTAGTACCAACCGGACGGGGTTTTCGAAAACAACACATGTGGTCATTAAACATGACCATGCATTTATGCGATGGGGCTGTTTTATTTACCGTCTCTCGTCAATCTCGTTGCTCTAATAATTTTCTTATTAGCCATTGTACGGGTATCTACTATTTGTTCTTATTATAGTGATTACAAGTTTTTTCTCGTTATAACTTATTAAATGTTATATTTATTTAAATTACTACGGCCACTAGTAATTCATATTTTTTTTTTAATAAGCAGTGTTATCGATGTTAATCCGAAAACGGAGATTAGATCCAGACGACTTATCAGCATATTAATAAAATAAATATAACCACGGCGAATACGGATAGCGATGGGGTTAATTTAAACAACACGCCCGTGTGCGATGTCAAGGTCGTCAAGAAATTGTGTATTTTTACTAATTATCTCCTGGGAGGGGATAACCTTAGTACTGATGTTCCTTAACGGGTTTGAAATTTTATTCATAAAATAAATATATATAAATTAACATTTTTATAACAGTACGGTGTGACCCTAATCATCATTGCTGGTTCGTGTTTCTTGTTAAAATAACTATTTCGCCCCGTAGCTCAGTGAATATTACCACTGATAATAAATAAAAATATAGTCTTATATTACATAAGAATATAAGAATATCTCTTTTATTACATTTTTTTTTAATTTTCTAATTTAAATTTTGTTGTAAAAAAATAGAGCATTGTTGTACCCAAGGAAAATACCTTTGCACAAATAATTTATGCTTTCAAGGCTTCAAGATAATTATAACATTATTGTAAAAGAAATACGATGCTAATGAATAATAAAAACAATGAGTGATATTAATAAACTCGTGAACTGTAAAACAAATGAAACATTTTTCCGTTCACCTGTAAAATTCACAGTACAATTTCAATGAACAAAATATCGGTATCCGCAACCATTTTTACTACAACCGATAATCATTTTTTTCCGATTCATTTGCAATATATAAGTTGTAAAGGAAAAAATTGTTGAAAAACCAATTATCTTATACTCAAACAATCTTCAGTGGTAGTTCATTTTTTACTTGTTCTCTCTACGTGAGATATTTAAATCAATTGTTTCGAATCTTCCCACGGCCCACTTGTAAGATTTAAACTATGATAAAATCACCTTTGAAAATGTTAATTTACAGCTAATTTTTAAAATAGACGCCTAGCTTATATTATAATGAAGAAACCGCTTTATCCGTCAAATCCTGTATGTTGTGACAACGTGTTGTTACTTGACTGTGAAACGGCGACGACGGAATACCAGAAAACCGGTTACCACTACGAAATCCAACACGCATGTATGTATAATAAACCACAAAACTACATTACCTGTAGATCGTTGAAAGTCAGGTATAAAACGATTTTTTTTCTTCGTTTATAACCTTTATACGTTTACTAAATCATAAAATATTATGTATAATATGGGCGTATAAGTGTCGGGCCACCATATCCGTTTCTACCGGTACGGTGAAACGTCGTAATCAACAGACAGTTTTTACCGGACACTAGTGCTCTGCATGGTCCGGTCTTATTGTATAAAAATTCGTGAAAAATGTTTCGGTCCGACTCCATATTTTTATGATAGATTTCGGTCCGGTCCTGGTTTAAACCATAATCATTTCGGTCCGGTTTAAAAATTATAATTAAATCAACTCGGTTAGGACCAGTCGGTCCTGGCTCGTTTAAAATCCATTGAACAATGTATTTACATTTCAAAGACATTATTTATAGAATTAACAACATGCATACTATCATGGAAATCAATATTTTACCCTTGCGCCGTTGTTTAATGTACTTTGTAGGTATACATCAGAGCTGTTCGTGGTAAGTACCTATTAATAATTATTATCGAATATATTTTCAAGAACCATGGTTGCAATTATTCTCGTTTTGGTGCGAGTTGACATGGAAGGACTTGGTATGCAGTAGAGCTCTGCTCAGTCTGGTTTGGACCGGACCGAATCATGGTTCGGTGTTTTTCAATTTAATGTCGTTTGGTCCAGTTCGACCTCCTTGTCTACGAAAAAAAAAATCATTCCAGTACAGTCCGTCCGCCTTCAGTTATATAATGGTCTTAATTTTGAATAACAATTTATTACGTTTTTATTCATATACATTGCATAGTAAAATAATATCCAACATAATAATATGTTATTTTCATCAAGATTATAGCACAATATACATTGTGGACAGTTATAATTATATCGTTTTATATTTTATTTTGAACATTTTACGTCGTTCGGTCTTATTTTTAAATGTCGGTTCAGTCTCGGTCTTTTCTAGTACACTCTAAATGATACGGTCCAGTCCAGTCTGTTTCAATTTTATTTCGGGCGTAGGTAAATTGAGTCTGAATTTTCGACATCATCGAATTGTACAACAAATGGTTGTGAATCATTTCACTCAAAACTAAATAGTTTATTTTATACTGCACATCCAAATATTTATATTTTTATTGATGCACTCAAAGAAATCCAATTAAATACATACATTAAAATAAGAAACAAAGACATGAGTAGAAAGTCAAAACACAACATTGAAAAAGAGAATATATTAAGAGAACAAATGACGAAGTGTAAAAATAATGCAATTAGTAGACTTGACTTTATTAAGCTTGTATCATTAAAATATTTATCTGTTTATTATTTTTAATATTTTTATTATTTATTATTAATTATTATTAATAAATAGTATACGATTGTGTTAATATAATTTAAAGTGTGTTAAATAAAAATAAAAACAGTATTTCACTTTATTTCAAATTACCGCCTTAATTTTCATACGAGGAACTCAATTTACCGATTTTATTTTTATATGAGGGACTTAATTTACCTTTTTTTTTTTTTTTTTTTTTAGGCGGAACTCAATTTATCAAGTCCGTTTATTTCATCGGTTCGCTCTGGTCTTGGTTTTAGTTATCATGTATCAGTCTTTTAAAAAACGGACCGTGCAGAGCTCAAGTACTCGTATACAGCTGCCACACCACACCTTTTAATAGAATTTGTATTTATATATAATGTAGTAAGTACTATTCTATGTATTACATATTATCAGTTTTATAATAATCTACGAGCAGATTAAATCAATTTAACAATTATGTGGTATAATTCAAAATGTTCATAGTTCGAATATTTTGTTCACTATATTATATTTTTGGACCGGTCCAGTAGAAAAATATTTTGTTATGACTGACCCGGTCTTGGTCTCTTTAAAAAATTGTTTTAAATTTTCAGTCCGGTCCAGTCCCTAAAATTACGGACCGTGCACTGCATTATCGGACACCGTACACCTGGCCACACGATCCATTTAAAATAATAATAATTGTTATCAATTTATTAATACAATTGAAAGAAATGTAGAATGATCGGACAACGCTTCAAAATATGGCGTGGTCAATATTAATAAAAAATTGAAAACAATGTATTTCGTTTCAGAAATCGGTGTCCGGTATCCGTTTTCAGCACAGCAAGAAGCGTTGCGATCCGGTTGACGCATCAGCGGAACGTTGCGTAATGGACAGTATGGCCCAATGGACACTATGGCCATCTGCATTCATATCAATGCGTTTTGTTTTTATCGTTTAAAGGTCCGTTTTCACAGTACCGATAGAAACGGATGGCTGGGCAAAAAGTAGTTGTAAGTGTATTTTCCAGAAAAATAATAAAGAAATGTCGTTGTTATTATGCAAGTTGTAAATACACTATGTCATTTATTTATACTAATATATACGTGTACGCTAATAAATAATATTCAAAATTTGTATTTTAATTTATAAATATTGTTATCACGTTACACTACAGTCATCAAGTACATTGCATAAGAAAAAAAAAAATTAGAACTTCGTCAATGTTCTCATGATATAATAGACTGTAAGTATGATGTCAACAGTCGTGTTTTAGTCTCACGTCGCGCGAATATGGCGCTAATTTTCCATCACCTCTCATTGGTCCATCTATTATCATGACTTAAAACCCTTTCGGCGGTAACCGAATATTTAGTTTTTATCAAAACTTTTTTAGTGTTCATTAAAAATGTCCTCGTTATTAATCTTCAATAAATGTTATTATTTAAAATGTGTACATTTTCTCTTATTTGCGGCATGAAATTATTAATCAAGTTCGTGTAATCATGTTTGACAATAATTTGACGTGTTATCGGAGTCTGCGCTTAGTTACAATAATATAAAGTAAAACGAATGAAAAACGGCGAAAGTCTTGCGCCATATTGCACCATTGAAGTAACTGGTGGCTGAAGTATAAATTTAAAGGTATAAAGATACGCATGTATGCTTATCACAAAACAGTGCATCATACTTAGTTTTTTACATCATGATATATTGTTCTAATGTACCCAATTATTTTGTTACCGATTGATAACGGTGTGTTATGTAATGTGATAAGAATTATTTTTCGAATTTTCGGGGTAATCATGTTCTTGTGGGCTGTGCGCTGTGTAACCGTACGTTAATCTCTGTATAGACTGTAGACCGATATAGTAAACGAAAATATTAAATAATAATAGTATATTTTATGTTAATTGACTTATGACTATTGGTGTATAAACTATTCGGTATAACTACTACTTACAAAGTATACCTACTTATTACATTCGTATAACACTGTACACATTTAAACTGTCAATTAAAAAGTACTTGGTAAGGTATTAGTATGACTTTGGTCGAACAAATAATAAAAATTGTACATTTTGTCGAAGTTCTGCTTAGGTGTTATTTGTTTAACAACTATATGGATTGTGCACATGACTGCGGTGGTGTAACAATATTCCGAAGAAACGAAAAATATTCTCGGTCGACCTTTTCCTAAAAAAAAACCATCGGGTTTGACCATCGCGGGTACTCGGAAATGGTGTAATTTGATCATAATGACAGTGGTCGGATAAATTATCCCGGACGCAGAAACCCAATGTATGTATACAATGTATGAGCCATATATAGCATAAATGAGCTAAACAAATTAAAAGTATTTAGAGTAGGAAATTATATTAGATTAAAACACAATGATTTTAAAAATATGATGTGCGTAAAGTGTAACATGTCTTGAACAATTTAAATGCGGTTTGTCCATAATTTTTAAAATTAAATTCAGTACCAACGTCAAGGTGTTTATAGTAACCAATAGGCCAGAGATATTCCAACTTTTTTAATCCCGTGCCTTTTTTTTTAGTGTCAACATATTAATGGATTTCAAATCATAAACGACAAAAATCGGGTGAAACTCCTAAGTCAGAGAAGAAACAGGAACAGATGAATGATATAGGTGAAACCATGTTTTACCATTTTTCGAAAAAAAAACGAATTTTGAGTGAAAGAGTTTGGACGGATCAGATTATATTTTTAAATATAGTTGATGTTGTGGTAAAACAGATTTCTTAATAATGTATGTTGAATTTTTATATTCCATTTTTTTTTTTTTTTTAAAGACATTTAGGTAAGCAAGTAAATGACGTTAAAATGTTATTAGACCTTTACGTGTTATCAAACTACAATTAATTAACTTATTTGGTAAAATTTGAAAACCGCTTGCGTCTAAACAGCACAAATCAGTGGCGCCCACGTAGGGTGTCATTTAGTGAAATTGCACAGGTTTCTCGTGGGTCCCAGGGCCTACATACATTTGATGGCCCCCTCTCTTTGAGAGCAAACACTATAAATGCATAACTAATCGACTGGATCTTTAGATCGTTAAATAAAACGTAAAGTGTTGGATAACATGCAAAAAAAAATATAAATATATAGTAACTAATATACGAGTAGATAACTATAATAATGTTGATTGTGTTTGTAGTTTGTGAACAATACTTTCCAAACTCCTATGTACGGACGGAAATTTCATGAAGGACAAATATTTTTCACGAAACAATCACTTCAATTTGATATCGAGTAATTTTCGCACGTCCAGTACCATACCAATATATTTCATCCTAATATTTTATTGTAGTTCACTCCTTTATTGAATTTTATAATTGATTATTAAATAATAAAATTATATATCTTTATAATTAATATCAACAACTGTATATTTAATCTCCCTATCTGAAATGAGGATATTTTATTGGTTTTGATATAAGACTATACAAGCGAATTATTAATACCTTAATATTTAAGAGTATACCTAATTGCTGTGAAGATCTAATTCTATTGTACATTCATACATTGTAATTCACTTTAAACAAAACGCTCCCATACTTTTTTATTGATTATTATATAGGAATCTATTGAAATTGTATAATAATGCTACACTATTTTATTAAATTCCTCTATAAAATTCAATAAAAAAGTATAGGCGCGCTTTATTTAAAGTGAATTAAAATTTATGAGAGTATAATAAAATGTTATCCACTTAGCAACTATATTCTTAAACATTTAGATCATACCAAATTGCTTATGTGACATTACATCGAGATTGATAAATTCTGCACATTCCAAATAGCCAGGTAATTGTATAAATACATTATTTGAAAGTCGCAGTTAAAAATTAACAGAAAATTTTGCTATAATAAGTCTAAAATATCCTGTGCGGTACAGAATTTAAATGACCACGTTGTGAAAAAATACACGATATCAAATCGAAGTGACCGTTCAATGATTAAGCGACCTAACAATATCGTGAATTTTTTTCGTATTTATGTGAAAGAGGAACACTAAAAAGAGAATTAGGAGAAAAAAATTCGGCATCTCTAGAATTTTCTGAAAAATGTTAATGACACTGAATCCACATTTTAAAATTGCTATTGAAAAACATACGATGTACTTAAATAAGTTTATAACGGCCGTGATCAAGCAATGTGATGAGGTTAGCGTATCAACGAAAATGGCACTGTTAACGAGAGAGAAGTGTAGAAATTTGTAAAATTATAGAAATATAACAATATATGTAGCAATTTGTAAGCAAGTTTTTAAACAGAAACAGTACACATTTTGGATTAGTAAATGTTTAACACAGACACAGTAACGTCACAAGCTTTTGCGAGGCCTTAGGCAAAATCAATATAATTTTCTTACATCTAAATATATTTAAATATTTTAACTCGATAAATTGTAGGCTCCCCAATTTATTTTAAGTACGAGGCCCTAAGTATTAGCCCAAGTTGGCTGCTTGCTAACGAGAGCACTGCACAGACATTCAACTGCACCCCAGAATATAAATATTTATTATTAGTATGATAAATAGTCATTAAAATCATATTAATTATTCGATAATTAGTGCTTAAATATTGTCGAATTCATAACTGATAATAACATCATTATTATTTAGAGTTGAAATATTTTATTAAAAAGAAAAATAAATCTTGTATTGATCGGAAAAGGTGAAAATATCAGTTTAAATAAATCATGATATTGCTGTCGGATTTTAAGTAGGCATTATAATTTATTATGAAATGCATCAGTTTTATCAAAATATGCACTTTGGTTCAGACGGTTAAAATTATGTTTATTGTGATTACAATTTTTTTAAACATCTTATAAAATATATATTTTATTGTTGAATTGGTTGTGGGTGTAATTTTTTGTATTATTTATTTATAAAAAATACTTATTTTCTATGTTTATTCTTTTTGGTAGGAGTATTATTCCTCCTTTGGTTATTTAACGAAACATTAAACTGTTTCGGACCACCAACTCTTGGTCTATGTTTGTTGTTTGCCGATACGTAAGCTTAGCTTTCATTAATTACATTTTTACAATAATTTTCGTATAATTTTTTTGTCTTTAGTTTGATCCGTATCACCACATAACCATAACTCTGAACTATAAATAACGGAACGTAATATTGACACAATTCGTGATATGAACTTAAAGTGGTCGGCAGGTTTTATAGGTCCATTCTGGAAAGCAAAACTCCTACAACTTCTGACGTTTTTTTTAATGTTGATAAAGCCTTTTTCCAGTGAAGTATAATATGCCGTTTGACTAGTAAACAGGTAATTAATTATTTCTTTCTTTATCAAATACGTGGTTATATCTCCGGGACACAATAAGTTACTTCCAATATCCTCAACAATCTATGGACAAAAAAAACAAAAATTATGATTTTTTTTTTAGAAATTTTAACCTTCTGAATTTTTGAATGCTTTTACAATTTTGAATCACTTAGCATCATATTAGTACATAAACGAACTATAAACGATTCAAGTATACATTTTACCAATGGTATTATTACTGTTATTATTAAAATAGGTGTTCATACATTTCAGTACAGCAGTGCAAATAAAATTTAATTGTAATTACTTTTCTTTGAACGATGGTTATCGAGCATTCACTTTATCCACCAGATCGTTCGCCCACTTATTCCCTTTAAGCTGTTCCAAGTCGACGAACAGTAGGATATCGCTCTTTGCTTCAATTTTCAATATATCTTTCGGTGTAATAAATTATTTTAACAGTGGCGGCGGTATACGATTGAATATCTTACAAAGGTTTAAGGATAAAATAATAACTTCGAAATTGTTGATAACTTCCAATATTTACTCTAGATGGGATGCAAACGGTTATACTTATCCGGGATCCAGCGAAAATACTTGCAACAAGCTTCTTTAACCTGCGTCCAATCTAAACCAGTCCAACCCGCAACCGATTTTTGGAATCCCCAACTTGGTTAAATTCATTGTTTTTATTTGTTCTAGATAATAAACATTTTTAAAAATTGTTGAATACATTTTATTTTTTTCTAGTACTGTATTTTATTTTATTTATAATTATTACTTTCGACGTGGATTAGATAAAATTTTAAAACCCAATGTTTAATTGATCCATAAATTAAAACAAAATAATACACGACTCATGAATTAATTTAATTATTTCAAAATACTTCTGAATAAGTTGTTTTGACTCAACGGATGCTTTAGGTACATCATGCTTTTCTTTTTTTCTACCGAACGTGGATTGATCTTGTTTGTTTAACAAAATATTATTTTTAATCTTCTTTTTTCCTTTCAGTTCAGACTAGGGATGGACATGAAATCCGAATAACTGAATTATCCGGATATCCGAATTCGAATTAAATTTTTATTCGGATTTGCCGAAGTATCCGGATTGTCCTGATTTAAGAATTTGCTTTTTATATAATATAATTATTTTTAATTTTTAATTTTATTGTAACAACAAATTAATATTATATTTTATGAATTTAAATTTACTTATCATGATTTAAATAGTTTTTATAATGTATTATTAGTTACATAAATTACAATTTATTAAATTGTTGAGTTCATTTTATAACTCTATGACTTACAGTGATATAATGACTGAATATCCAATTACCTTATTTTTACCGCATAACCTTTGAATGGTAATTGAATAAGATTTTCTGAAGATAAGTTGAATTTATAATACAATGCAATATAAGAATGATACAATAATAATAGTTATAGATGTAATTATTTACATGGACAAGTTTTCTTATAATTATCAAATAAAAATTATCTTTAAGTATTAAAAAGCATAATGTGGAGATATATTGTAGGAATAGTATTTGTAATTGAACAGAAAAATTGAATTGAATAATCCGAATAGTTCGGATAATCCATGATATGCCTATCCGGATATAAATTCGGATATGCCTATCACTAGTTCAGACTAGTTTATTTTATTAAATTTAGCTTTAAGTAATAATGAAGAAATTATTAATTTAGTATAAAATTATTCATACAAAATTTAAATAAATAAATTGAAAATTGAAAGAAGTAACGAATTTCTTACATTTATTTATAAAAACTTTAACACAGGTATTTGTAATCATTATTAATTATATAATTTTTTTTTTAAACATTTTAAAATTGAATTAAATGTATACTTTAGATTATAATTTTAGTGAAATGTATCATTCATTATATATGAGTGGGTTAAAGCCATAGTGGTGTAAGTCATAATTCCGTAAAAATGAGTTATGTATTATAGGCGTATCTGTAAAAGTAAATTTATTGAATATCAAAATGAAGTAATATTGTTGTGCCATCTAGTGGTAGATGGTACGAGTTATGACTTATTCACTTTGCCATTCAATAAATTCAGTAAAGATTATGTAAACATCATATAATATTTATTGATTAAAGTCAAATTTTAGGGTTTTAATACGTTACATTTACATTAAATTTTCAAGTTTTGTCTAATTATAAAACTATAGGTGTAAAATCATACACTAATAAAATTCTCCAAGTACAATAATAAATGGTAATACTGCATAATAATAATATTGCAATAAATTAATAAACTAATCAATAATTGAACAATGATTTACTTGTTTGTTTGTTTGCCTCTGTTATTTAAAGTATTCATTCATCACGATTTAAAAATTGGTTTATCTGAAGCTAAAAAAATGATTACGCTATAACCTTGTTTTTTTTCGTCTCCTCTAATTTAATTACGTATCTATGTAATAAATTAAATTTGTCTCAGGTGAGTTTACTCTCTAAGCTTTAGATTCTAAGGCATAAGTTTAAAATGTACTTAAATACCAGTATTTATATCATATCATATTGATCACACAACAAGTGACTGTGTACATATATTTATTGAAAAAATCGATGAAAAAGATTATAAAAGTAAATAACGTGTATCGATGTAACGTAAAAATATATCGCAACGTTAGTGTTTAGATAAAAAAAAAAAAAAAAAGAAAAATTGTTGACGTATCAGTCTTACAATACGTCAATATAAATAAAAAAAAATAATAAAAATACAGTCTTTACAATATTTTGTGAAAGTTTATGCATTCCACTATAACTATGTTTACGCTGTACTTAGTAAAAAACGTTGGCCGATTAAATCCGTGGTGAAACCCAGTCGTATTAGATTGTATATGCACTGGACGGAGCAGCGGGACGAGGTCGTATACAGCAATTGTGTTCAATATCGCTCCTGCACGTGCTCGTGTTTTGTCATATACAATTGCTGCGACGTCCCTTCCCCCTTGAAATATCTCTACTACG